GAAAATTCGCCAAAGTAATTTCTGCGTACTGGCTAGATAGGATGAAAAAGTAAAAAAAGACAATAATAGAAATTTTACTATTAAATCTCGAAAACCTGGCCTAAAAATGTTCTTAAATCTATGTCCGATTCGAATGATATGCCTTTAAATGAGGTAAAAAAATATATATATATTTTTTTTTACTTTTCTAAGCAGATTTTATATTCATTAATTAACAATTGTTGTAACTCCTTTAGTTTAAAACTCACTATGAATATTTTGCTCAAGACAAAAAGTATATTAATTATATAGTTTCACACAAGATCCGACTACTAAAAATTATATAATAAGCTGTCAATATGCAGAAAAAGGTAGCATAAGAGAATACCTTCAAAAAAAAATTTATTCATCTAAATGGGTGGGAAGACTGGTAAATTGAGAATTCTGTATTGCGCGATAATAGATTTGGGAACAATTCATGGGAAAGGTTACGTTCATCGCGATTTTCAGTGGTAATATATTACTCATAATGGTGGGGTGGCGGCATACTTTGCTGATTTAGATTAGCTCGACCAGTTAATAAATCAAGTAATGAGGATTTATGTGGAGTGCTGCCTTACGTTGCGCCCGAAACATTATTAGGAAAACCGTATACACTTGCATCTGATATTTATAGTTTTGGTATAATCATGACTGAAGTATCAACTGGTAGACAGCCTCATGAAGAGATTTCACATAGCTTAAATCTTCTTGTAAGATAAGCAAAGGTATGCGCCCTACAATTGCTAAGGGAACACCTGAATGCTATATTAAACTAACAAAGAAATGTATACATCAAAATCCTTCTAAACGACCAACTGCCAAAAATATTGAGGAGGAAATACGTCGCTGGAGAGAAGATGAACACTTTGAAAAAATATTTTTCGTTCTTATAATGAGAAAAAGGAAAATGGAAATGAGCCGTGAGCATGAAATAATTGAGACGGTATTGACATCTACTTAACACTTCGCCAAGAGAAATATACAAGTAAAAAGCTCAACGATATTTCAAAAGATCATCAATTATATTTTACAGGCAATTTATCATTAAATTTAGATTCTATTCAGGACTATGATGATGAGAATCCATGTATGTAAAAATATTCAATTTAATTTATAACTTAATTAATTAATTTATTTAATGTTTTATTTCAAAATATCCTCGTAGGAAGCGTGATTATTGTTACAATAAAATCAAAGAAATTTTAATACACA